GGAGGGCGGCCCCGCCCCCCAAAGCCAATTGCTCTCCGCCTCCCTGCTGCTCCCCCGCCCCTGCCCCTGCCCCCGCCAGGCTTCCCTCCGGCACCCAGCCGGAAATTCACAAAATACTGGACATTGCACATGTTTTTCTGAATTTTTCTACCGGACAGATGGTGCAAATACCAGACTGTCCGGTAGAAAACCGGACACTTGGCAACCCTACGCCCTCACACATATATTTATCCCCTGTTGATATAGTGCTGGCTATACTGGGGATTAGGTCAGTATAACTTGGTCACTTAATCCATATACCAGAGCAATGTAGTTATGTCAACATACACTGGTAGGGTAGACCAAGCTTTCTCAAACTGTTCACAAAGGCTTGCATTAGACTTTCTGGGGATGATGTTGAAGCCTGAGCCTCATCGCCCCAACAATACTCATCAAAAATATTGTCTAAAGATAAATGAGCACATTTTGTGGACCTTTTACTGCAGAAATTTTCTTTTCTTTTTTAAAGTTCTAATAAAAGCTCTCTCTCAATGGGTCATTTTCCAGTTGTTATTTTACTGAGTCAGCCTGGCTTAAGAGATAGCATGGAATTCATTGCAGACCAATATGTAGCCTTTACTCACATAATTTTTTTTTAAGATTAATGTTTTCAGCTGGGGATATTTTAGACATAAAAATTAAATCCTGTTCTTTCTCTGATCACTGTGCAACAAGCATGGATTACTTCAGTATCAGCATTTGTTTCATAATTATTTCTCTTCTACTTAACCCCCAGGGTTAAATTTGCTAACTGAAAAAGCATGTTGACAGTTAATTTTAATGTGTGTCAAAAATTAAGCTCATTGCACTGGATAATTCTCCTTGGAGATTGTGCTACAGAATCCAGCATCATTTTATTGAGCTGTTGATAGAAAGAAAGGCATCTTGGTATGGAGGAAATGGTTTACAACACTTCCTTTTTGAGGGAAGGGGCATTATCACATGAGGTTGACTCTATAAAGTGTGCACTGTTCTATGAACCATGGTTTACTATGTTTTCCTGGTGAGTTAATGCTATGTTGTGGGCTTCAGCAGATTTAAGAAAGATTTTATGACTCTGTTTAGTGTCAGTTATCACAATCCTCCTAAAAATATTTATGGAAACAGTTCTGTGGTGGCATAAAACATCCAGGGTACCATCCCTATTAAATTTTTTGTTCATTGCAACAACCCTGGTATATAATACTGGTTAGAGATCACTGCATCAACTTGTTTGCAGAGAAACCCAAAGTCTTCCCAGTTTTTCATCACATAAATGTCATTGTCTCATCATTATTATGCTCAGAAGACTGAAAGAAAGAGCTTTGTGACACAGTCACCTGTTTTGTAGTTTGCAATGTCTTCAGAATCCACCGCAGAATCTGATTCTTGTTTGGAGAAGGGCAATACTCTGCTGCCATGATGTTGGTACTTAACTGTTTGATCCTGTCTGTTAGGACTTCCTGGTATTCTGCTGAGTGCCATTAAACTGTGTGTTGGTTAAAAAAGTTTATATAACAACTCATAATACCTTTTTCAATAGATATCGGATTATCATTTGAAATCATTATCAATAATGGTCCAATCTTGTTGACTTTACTGAGTTTACTACACATAACATTCAGGCAAATTCCCATCAAAGCCAATGTGAGTTTGCCTCATTAAAGACTATATAAAAAAAGGAGGTCTTCAATATTTAGCCCATTGGCTACATTTGAGGCCCTGAAATTCAGTGACATTTCAGAGGTAAATTATGTTGCCAATGATAAGAGGTTTCAGGAGCGTTTCAGCCCGAATCTTTCAAAAGAATCTACTGTTCCTTACAGAATTTCTAGGGTCTTTGGCATCATAGGGTACGTCTAGACTACATGCCTCTGGCGACAGAGGCATGTAGATTAGGCTACCAGACATAGGAAAATGAAGCTGGCACGGGAGCGTCCAGACTAGCGCACTGAGCCGACAAAAAGCTGATCAGCTGTTTGTTGGCTCAGCACGATAGTCTGGACGCTTGGGTGGCGACATCAAAGGTATTTGTCGACCACCCAGGTATGCCTCTGCTTCATTTTCCTATGTCTGGTAGCCTAATCTACATGCCTCTGGCGACAGAGGCATGTAGTCTAGACGTACCCATAGTTCCAGAGCTATGAAATCACATTCTAGCCCAGGGCTACTCAACACGCAGCCCACTTGTTTGTGGCCTGCAGTGCAGTTTGGGTTTACACGGGGCTCAACATGCAGCCCACAGGTATGAGCCAAACAAAAAAGTAGTCAATATAATGGTCTTCTGTTGATATGCGTTTTAGTAGTTCAATTCCTGGACTGTCATTGCTCATTAAAAGTGCTGTCATCAGGGTGGAAATCGGGTAAATATTGCATTTTATTAATATCAGCAGAACTGACTTAAATGGGGCCTGTGCATTATGTAGTCTTGCCTTAATCTTTGTATTCATACCTGTCAGTGTGAAAGAATCCATTAGCATGTATTTGCATATATATTTGTATGTATGTACAATCACACTTAAGTTGCAACCCTCAGCATGTGCTATGAGTTTCATTGTGGCCCCCAGGGCTTCCAAAGTTAAGTAATCCTGTTCTAGCCCATAGATATCTATGTCATTCAGTTCACAAGTACATGCTGTTCAAACTGTCTCGTCCATTGTTTGATGTTCTTCTCTGAAAATGACTGTTCACCATGTGACATTTCTTTTTTTCTTCCCTGGGCATGCAGCCACCTAACGCTGAGGATCATGATGACCAAACGCTGACGGTAGGCAGCAATTTGTGTATTTGTGTCTGGGCATTTGTTTCTGGAAGGTGTGAGCGAGACAAATCTTACTTTTCTTTAGCACACTTCAGCACTTTAATAAACTATCATCCTTCCTATGCTGCTGTGCATTAAAAATAATTAAGTTCCAGTGTTAAAGTGATTAACTAATTCTGATATTCAGTTCTACCGTTTTTCATTTGGTGCCAAGATTTAATGTATTTGCCCTGTAGAAGCTTTCATTGAAAACAGCCATGTCCTGCAGCTGTTTTTTTATAATTAATTTGGCAGGAGTTTTAGTTTTATAAATTGTTGATCCTGATTATTTTTTATTGAACTAAATGGAGTGATTTGTGAACATTGCCATCTACAAAATGTATTCTCTAAGAAATTTATGGATGTACTACTGCAGCTGCTGTTATCCTATATAATTATTGGCACGGGAAGGGGAATCTCTTTTTGGTATTTATAAAAAACTCATAAATATATTAAAGATAGTTTATTTTAGATCCATTAGTGTGTATGTGTTTGTGTGTGCGTGCGTGCATGCGCATGTATGTTATTTATCATCATTCTGGAAGTCCTTGTTTGTGTGTGCGTGCGTGCGCATGTATGTTATTTATCATCATTCTGGAAGTCCTTTTTTTCTTCTAACCTTTCCAACACATATGATAGAAAACCATAGGCAGAGGCATAGAGACATACATCATTACTATAACTGACCTAAGGCTTGTCTAAGATTCTATCGTATAAATGGAGTATTTTCAAAATATTTTTCTACATCATTTTGATTATATCTAAAGGTCTGTAATGGACTGCAGGCATTTGAAATGAGAAGCTGGTATACTTCAAAGACAGAACTAAACAGTTCTGCAATGAAACTAAAGATTGTTAATACTGTCAGCTACTCTTTCTCTGCCGTAAAATAATCTCTCCAGGTTTTAACTTGAAAATTTAGCACATAAAGTTCACACTTCCTTTTCTACACTAGACTTTTGGAAATTATGTTTTTCTTTGAGTGGTTGCTCATATGCACTCCAGTTTAGGTGTATGCATGCTGTGTGCACAGTTGCTGGAAAGCTTTTCCCTAGCAGGATTCTATAGATTAGACACCTAGGGTACGTCTAAACTACATGCCTCCGTCGACGGAGGCATGTAGTTTAGACGTACCCTAGGTGTCTAATCTATAGAATCCTGCTAGGGAAAAGCTTTCCAGCAACTGTGCACACAGCATGCATACACCTAAACTGGAGTGCATATGAGCAACCACTCAAAGAAAAACATAATTTCCAAAAGTCTAGTGTAGAAAAGGAAGTGTGAACTTTATGTGCTAAATTTTCAAGTTAAAACCTGGAGAGATTATTTTACGGCAGAGAAAGAGTAGCTGACAGTATTAACAGTCTTTAGTTTCATTGCAGAACTGTTTAGTTCTGTCTTTGAAGTATACCAGCTTCTCATTTCAAATGCCTGCAGTCCATTACAGACCTTTAGATATAATCAAAATGATGTAGAAAAATATTTTGAAAATACTTCATTTATACGATAGAATCTTAGACAAGCCTTAGGTCAGTTATAGTAATGATGTATGTCTCTATGCCTCTGCCTATGGTTTTCTATCATATGTGTTGGAAAGGTTAGAAGAAAAAAAGGACTTCCAGAATGATGATAAATAACATACATGCGCATGCACGCACGCACACACAAACACATACACACTAATGGATCTAAAATAAACTATCTTTAATATATTTATGAGTTTTTTATAAATACCAAAAAGAGATTCCCCTTCCCGTGCCAATAATTATATAGGATAACAGCAGCTGCAGTAGTACATCCATAAATTTCTTAGAGAATACATTTTGTAGATGGCAATGTTCACAAATCACTCCATTTAGTTCAATAAAAAATAATCAGGATCAACAATTTATAAAACTAAAACTCCTGCCAAATTAATTATAAAAAAACAGCTGCAGGACATGGCTGTTTTCAATGAAAGCTTCTACAGGGCAAATACATTAAATCTTGGCACCAAATGAAAAACGGTAGAACTGAATATCAGAATTAGTTAATCACTTTAACACTGGAACTTAATTATTTTTAATGCACAGCAGCATAGGAAGGATGATAGTTTATTAAAGTGCTGAAGTGTGCTAAAGAAAAGTAAGATTTGTCTCGCTCACAACTTCCAGAAACAAATGCCCAGACATAAATACACAAATTGCTGCCTACCGTCAGCGTTTGGTCATCATGATCCTCAGCGTTAGGTGGCTGCATGCCCAGGGAAGAAAAAAAGAAATGTCACATGGTGAACAGTCATTTTCAGAGAAGAACATCAAACAATGGACGAGACAGTTTGAACAGCATGTACTTGTGAACTGAATGACATAGATATCTATGGGCTAGAACAGGATTACTTAACTTTGGAAGCCCTGGGGGCCACAATGAAACTCATAGCACATGCTGAGGGTTGCAACTTAAGTGTGGTTGTACATACATACAAATATATATGCAAATACATGCTAATGGATTCTTTCACACTGACAGGTATGAATACAAAGATTAAGGCAAGACTACATAATGCACAGGCCCCATTTAAGTCAGTTCTGCTGATATTAATAAAATGCAATATTTACCCGATTTCCACCCTGATGACAGCACTTTTAATGAGCAATGACAGTCCAGGAATTGAACTACTAAAACGCATATCAACAGAAGACCATTATATTGACTACTTTTTTGTTTGGCTCATACCTGTGGGCTGCATGTTGAGCCCCGTGTAAACCCAAACTGCACTGCAGGCCACAAACAAGTGGGCTGCGTGTTGAGTAGCCCTGGGCTAGAATGTGATTTCATAGCTCTGGAACTATGGGTACGTCTAGACTACATGCCTCTGTCGCCAGAGGCATGTAGATTAGGCTACCAGACATAGGAAAATGAAGCAGAGGCATACCTGGGTGGTCGACAAATACCTTTGATGTCGCCACCCAAGCGTCCAGACTATCGTGCTGAGCCAACAAACAGCTGATCAGCTTTTTGTCGGCTCAGTGCGCTAGTCTGGACGCTCCCGTGCCAACCTGAAAGCCCTTTATCGAACTCCCCGTTATGCCTCGTAGGATGATGTTTGTCGGCTCAGCGCAGCAGCCATTTAAATTTAAATGAAGCCGCGATTATTTAAATCGCGGCTTCATTTCCTTTTGCCGATCAGCCTAATCTACATGGCTCCGTCGATGGAGCCATGTAGTTTAGACATACCCTTAGTGTGGTAAAAAGTGACCTTTGCAACGGAGACTCAGGCAGTTAGTGTAAGGTTTTCATAAAATCTGCTTGAAAACTCATGCACCAGTTGTAGTTGAAGCAAATAGGTGGTAATTAAACAAAAATGTTAGCCATTTTTGTTGGGTTTGATCCTACTTCCTTTGTTGTCAATAGTAGGGTTTTGCATTGACTTAACGGAAACAGGATCACAGTCTTTTGTGTGTTGTGAGCACATTGTTTTGCATTGGCTCATAGCTTAGAAACGACACACAGCTCCTGCAGCTAGAATACTTCCTCTCACTCTGTTGTTACAGCCTGGATTTTGGAGCCGTGGTTTATTATGCAGTAGAAGTGTCTCCAGAGGTATGACCCCTGTGATTTTGATGCTTTCATTTGTAAATCCTCAAAACAAGTTTTTGTGCTTTCAGATGGCAAAGCCGTATATTATCCGCATGTTGTTCAAATTGCTCCAGCTCTCTAGCACGCATAGCTAACACAGCTATGTAAGGAAAATATTTAGATAGCTACATGTACACTGAACAATGCCAAACACTGCAAGAGCCATTGTTAGCTAAGTTGGCACTGTTCACTCCCGTAATATTAATATTTCATAAGAATAGCCATACTGGGTCAGACCAAAGGTCCATCTAGCCCCGTATCCTGTCTGCTGACAGTGGCTAATGCCAGATGCCCCAGAGGGCGGGAACACAATGGTAATCATCTGTGATCCCTCTCCTGTCACCCATTTCCAGAGAAACAGAGGCTAGGGACACCATTCCTACCTATGCTGGCTAATAGCCATTGATGGACTCAAGCTCAGTGAATCTATCTAGCTCTTTTTTGAGCCCTGTTAAAGTCCTAGTCTTCACAACATCCTCTGGTAAGGAGTTCCACAGGTTGACTATGCACCGAGTGAACAATTCGATGAACAATCCTTTGTATTTATTACAAAAGTTTAAAATGATCTCCTTTTACTTACAGAAAAGATTAAATGAAAAATTCTATCTTTATATTGCTATTTTGATAGCATTTTTATTGGATCTTTTCTGTAAGTAAAAGGGGATCCATTTTTATTCTCTTTAGGGAATACAAACAACCCAGGGAATTCCATAATGGAAATACTTTGTTTGGGCTCAGTTAGAGCACTATTGTCATTATTACCATTCTTACCTCGTCTTGGAATGGATTAACCGGCTGTAACCCATGAGAGATTTGTAGTATGTGCTGTAGCACTCTGGCTTACCTTACCTATTCTGCTGGTGGCGGGCCCCAAGAGGGGAGACATGATCACCTGCACATAAGCTGATCTGACATTCTGTTCAGTAGAGGGCAGTGATGAACACACACCCTGTAGAACCGCTGACAGTGCCAGATTTAGGACTTTATTATGTAGAGTTTTTTTTGTTTTTTCCTCATAGCACTGTGACTAATATGGGGCACACACTTGTAGAATCTGCAGCTACTAGGCCTTCGCTTCCAAGTAACAGTGTCGCACCTGGGAGGTATGTTTACTGTCTTTTGTAGAGCCTGTTTGTCGGCTCAGCACGCTAGTCTGGACGCTCCCCTGCCGACATAAAAGCCCTTTATCGACCTCCCCGGTAAACCTCATCCTACGAGGCATAACGGGGAGGTCGATAAAGGGCTTTCAGGTCGGCGCGGGAGTGTCCAGACTAGCGCACTGAGCCGACAAACAGCTGATTAGCTGTTTGTCAGCTCAGCGCGGCAGCCATGTAAATTTAAATGAAGCCGCGATTATTTAAATCGCGGCTTCATTTCCCTTTGCCGATCTGTCTAATCTATATGCCTCCGTCGACGGAGGCATGTAGTTTAGACACACCCCTAGAGTGGTGCCAATATGGCTAGGTATATAGCACCCTGCTGACCACCCTCTCCCTCAGTTCCTTCTTACTGCCAGTGACAGTTGTCAGAGCTAGCGTCTGCAAGAGTGCCTTCCCAAGCTCTGTGTCGTAGATAGTTTTCTCAAGTTTTAAATAGCTGATAGTTGAGTGATAAGTTTGCTGTGGGGACTCTTGATGTTCCCTGCCACATGGGGGCCAGGGCATGCCTTGGCTCTCTGGCTTCAAGCAATGCAAACAGTGCACAAAATTTATGCCTACGGGCGATCCACTCAACTCCTGCCTTAAGTATCTAGGAGTGGACCATTTAGCAGATAAGTGGAATGCAAAGGGACAGAGAATTTTGCCTCCAAAATATCCTAATGGGGGCCTCTGTGGAGCCCCATCTGGCATGACGGGCTGTGGGACTGGAATTGTCGGCCTCGGTGTAGCATGCCCTGGCTCTGCATAAAGATTTGTATAAACCCTCCCGGCACCAATGTTCACCAGCGCCAAAGACTATCTCACAGCACCAATCCTATTCTCCGGTGCACAAGAAAAGGCAGAGGCAGGAGAGGGGCCGGTCCCCCACTTTGAAAGCTAAGAAGCTTAAGGGGGGCACCCTTTAAACAATCCACCCATACAGCACCATTGGAGCCACTGCCAGTTCCATCAACTCTGGTGCAGGTGGACTCCCCATTCTGGGAGAGTCAGATGTAGGATGTGGATGTGCCATCACCCCTGAGATATATGAGATGGCCCGGAACTTCATTGAGTTGATGTTGGGCTCTTCAGCATCGCTGAGAGAGTCCCTTCTGGCCCCATCACCGGTACCAGGTCCGGTGTAATCAAGGGAGAAGCCCCCTATGTTAAGGAGGTTGTCTTCACCTCAGCACCATTCTGGTGAGGGCTCCTGTACAAGGCGGAGTCCTCTAACTTGGCACTGATCATGGAGCCTGGACCATCAGCCTCTACAGTGGTCTAGTGAGGGCTCCTATATATGACGGAGTCCTCCCAGATGGCACTGCTCCGCTAGTGGGGACTGTTCACTTCAGCACCATTCCACAGAGGGCTCCTGTACAAGGCAGCCTCCCAGGACCTGCCTAAGGGTTTTGGGGCACATGGATTCTTGCACCCACATTGTCCCCTTTACATAAGAACATAAGAATGGTCGTACTGGATCAGACCAAAGGTCCATCTAGCCCAGTATCCTGTCTGCCAACAGTGGCCAGCACCAGGTGTCCTAGAGAGGGTGGACGGAAGACAATGATCAAGCGATTTGTCTCCTGGCATCCCTCTCCAGCCTTTGTCAAACAGAGACCAGGGACACCATTTCTATTCCCTAGCTAATAGCCTTTTATGGACCTAACCTCCATGAAATTATCTAGCTTCTCTATAAACTCTGTTATAGACCTAGCCTTCACAGCCTTCTGTGGCAAGGAGTTCCACAGGTTGACTACACGCTGTGTGAAGAAGAACTTTCTTTTATTAGTTTTAAACCTGCTCCCCATTAACTTCATTTGGTGTCCTCTAGTTCTTCTATTTAGGGAACTAATAACCCCACACCATTCATGATTTTATATATTTCTGTCATATCCCTCCTCAGTCTCCTCTTTTCTAAACTGAAAAGTCCCAGTCACTTTAACCTCTCCTCATATGGGACCCGTTCCAAACCCCTAATCATTTTAGTTGCCCTTTTCTGAACCCTTTCCAAGGCCAATGTATCTTTTTTGAGGTGAGGAGACCACATCTGTACACAGTATTCAAGACCACATCTGTACACAGTATTTGGCAAGCTTTGTCTTTGTCCACTATAGAGGTGGCTTACAAGTGTGTACAAGCCATATCATTTGGACAGGATGCTAACAGTATCAGCATTGGTGATAGATGTCCTTCAGTGGTGGCTCCATGGTTGAGAGCAATAGAGCTACAGTGCTCGAAGGAGATGGAGCAGTTTTACTTGGTGGTGGGAAGCCTTCGACATGAGCCACATATGCGTCTAAATAGACGAGGTTTTCCTTGTGGGCCCTAAAGTGGGGTACCCACCAATGCAGGCTTCGGTTCCCCTTATTCTAGAATACCTTGTAGGGTTAAAGCAACAGGGATTTGCCACTTCCTACATTAAAGTTCATCTGGCCGCAATATTGGTGTTCTTTTTTTAGGGGGTGGGTGGGCGTGTTCAGTATTTGTGGACTCTTGGTGAACAGATTCCTTAAGGGAGTAGATAGTTTATATCCTCAGATGAGGGACCTGGCGCCCTAATGGAATCTAAACCTGGTATTGTCAAAGTTAATGGCTCCACCATTCAAGAGGTTAGCTATTTGTTCATTGTTGTTTTTATCTATGAAGGTTGTATATTTGGTGGCCATTATTTTGGCCAGACGAGTTTCTGAACTAAAAGTGTTAATATCAGAACCCCTTTATACTGTTGTCTTTAAAGATAAGGTTCAGTTGAGACCCTATCCTTCATTCCTCCTGAAAGCGGTTTCCCGTTTTCATGTATCACATGACATTATTCTGCCAATGTTTTATGCCAAGTCTCACTTTTTTCCTCCCAGGACAAGTCCCTACATTCCCTGGATGTCAGGCGTGCCTTAGCCTTTTACCTACTAAGCTGTCCAGGAAATGCAATAAATTATTTGTTGCAATAGGATGAAAGGGCTAGCTGTCACCACCCAGAGGAGATCTTCCTGGATCCCCACATGTATTTGTACTTGTTACAACTTAGTGAAAGTGCCAGCCCCTCAACTGTCTGCTCATTTGACCCAAGCACAGGCCTTGTCAATGGCCTTTCTTGCGTATGGTCGTGTCCAAGATATTTGTCAAGTGGCCGCGTGTTCCTCAGACCACACATTTATGTCCCACTATGCCATTCAACATCAGTCTAGAGAGGACTTTGCGTTTGAGAGAGCGGTTTTATAGACTGCTGACAGGTGATCTTCGACCTCTCCACCGGATAGCAGCTTGGGAATCACCTAAATTGGAATGCATATGTGCAATCACTTGAAGAAGAAAAGACAGTTACCTTTCATAACTGGTGTTCTTTGAGATGTGCTGCTCATGTCCATTCCAAAACCCTCCTGCCTCCCCTCTGTCAGAGTAACTTCTAGCAAGAAGGGACTAAGGAAGAGGTGGTTGGCAGGGTGCTATGTATCTAGTGTTATTGGTGCCACTCTAGGGGTTTCCTCCTGTCAGTCCCCTGCTAGAGAAAAGCTTCCTGGCAACTGTGCACACGGCATGCATACACCTAAATTGGAATGGACATAAGCAACACATTTGGAAGAACACCAGTTATAAAAAGTAACCGTCTAACTCGATACCTTTAAATTCTAGGCTGTACAAAGTCCAAGGGGTTAGTTGATTTGCCCAATGCAGCAGAAAGAGTCTGTGGATTAGTAGGAGTTGAAGCCTTATCTCCTGAGTACCAGTCTACTGATGATGGCTCTTTTGGGATGAACGGGGGTGTACATGTCATATTGCTTAGTACAGAATGTGACCAGTGAAAATCAGAAATGTCTCTGGAAGATGAATATAGCTCATAAAGGAACTGGAGACCTAATTCCTTCTTTTTTTTTGGTTTTGAATTCAGACCAAGCCACGTCTCCAACGAGGTGGGAGCTCTGCATCTCTCCACAACAGTTTAATGAGGAACAGCATCTTTCAACTTATGATTCACACACTTGACCCACTTGCTGAAGGTATTCCAATAACTTATTTTCTTTCTCTGCTGTATAAAACAAAAAATATTTCCCCCATTACTCACAAAAATGTTGTTTGTACTTGAGCTACTTTCCCTAATGATGTTCTCTTTGGTTTTGGTTTGCTTATTATTGGCTTGTTTGAGTTTTTTTAATCTGTGAGAGTATTTGCATTCTAATGCCACGGTATATCGAGTGCCACAAAGGATTGTGACATCTAGGGATTGCTTTCACTGTGGTATCAATAATAATCATGACTGTCCAGGGGATGTACTGTAAGTACTAGCACATTCTCTCTTTAGTTGGGGCTTGAACAAATTTCATTTGGACAGGGATGTAAAAATTAGATGTTTACTGCTCCTTGTACGGGATGTCAATTTTGTTTTCCTAGCTTTGATGTCAGTATATCACAGGGAAGCTAAACATGGAACTAATTTCTAATATGGAATGTAGACAACATTGACACATTGCAATCTTGACTTTGGATGGATAATCGCTAAAACCAGATAGAATGTGATTATCCACAATCAACTAAGAGCCATCATTGATCTCCAACACTCTTCTCCCCTTTTCTTTCTTTCTTTCTTTCTTTCTTTCTTTCTTTCTTTCTTTCTTTCTTTCTTTCTTTCTTTCTTTCTTTCTTTCTTTCTTTCTTTCTTTCTTTCTTTCTTTCTTTCTTTCTTTCTTTCTTTCTTTCTTTCTTTCTTTCTTTCTTTCTTTCTTTCTTTCTTTCTTTCTTTCTTTCTTTCTTTCTTTCTTTCTTTCTTTCTTTCTTTCTTTCTTTCTTTCTTTCTTTCTTTCTTTCTTTCTTTCTTTCTTTCTTTCTTTCTTTCTCACACTCTTGCTGATATTATCAAAAGTGCAGTATTACTTTGTCAACCATGCCTTTCAAGTGGATTTCTAAATATCCAAACCCAGGTATTTATTTGTGTACTGGGTATTGTGATTACATTACTTGTCCCTGCTGAAGTAAGATATGTCTTCTTCAATCATCTATTTTTTTCAAAGTTATAATTCTTCCTAAAAGATGTGAAGGGCTCAACTGGCCCTAAATCTCTAAGGATATGTCTACACTACAAAGTTAATTCGAACTAACGGACGTTAGTTCGAATTAACTTTGATAGGCGCTACACTAGCGCTCCGCTAGTTCTAACTTAATTCGAACTAGCTAAACCTCATTCCACGAGGACTAAGCCTAGTTCGAACTTACTAGTTCGAATTAAGGGGTGTGTAGCCCCTTAATTCGAACTAGTGGGAGGCTAGACCTCCCCAGCTTTCCCTGGTGGCCACTCTGGCCAACACCAGGGAAACTCTATTGCCCCCCTCCCAGCCCCCGGATCCCTTAAAGGGGCATGGGCTGGCTACGGTGCCTGTGCCAGGTGCAAGCCTGCCAGCACCCAGCCAGCAGACCCTGCACCTGGCAC